ACTTCTGAATTATTGTTAGACTGTCTGACTAGTGTTATACAACAGTTCAATAAAGCGAAGCAGAACAATAAAACCATTCAACTACTTGCTATCAATCAGCTGCTGTCCAATTCAATATTTAACCCCTCTGGTGTAAGACTGTCCAATTGATAGATCCAGCGGGTCTCCAGATTTTAGACCTCTCTCATTTTATTATACCTCCACCAATTATTCCTCAGTCTGTCAATTCCTGTACACTTGAGACCAGAGAAGTCCCTAGTATGAACGTTTTTACATTTTCAGGAAACACTACCAGTTTTTAAACCTTTTTTGCGAGAGCATCTACATGCTCCCTTAAATGGACATGCAATACTTGAGTGGTCTATCCCACACACTGCAGACAACATGAGAATTATAAGAGATAAACAACATGACCTCAAATTCTTTATCTAAACTATGAAGGCACATTTCCACTAAGATGGTAAACAGATTATTTTATGTTACCCATTATCCTTAAGCAGTTCTTCCCTATCTAGTCTTGCTACAAATTGAATTTCTCTGTCTAAAATGCCCTTTTAATATCCTTTATCCAAGTACCTCTCCTTAAAGTGGAACTAAATCCAGTGATACTTACCTTTGCTTCAATGGTTCAAAGCTCATGAGGTCCCTCGCTGGTGCCAGCATTTTCTCAACAACTTCTTCTGGATGCTGGTTTTCAGCCATCTTGATTGGCTTGCGTGGTATGACATCATCCATGCATGTGTAAGTGTGCAGTCAGGCACTTTGCCGGAATGTAAACTGAGATGTGCATGGCAATTCTCTTAGGACATAAAGAGACTGCCTACTTACAGTTTTAAATATTAGACTTTAGTTCCACTTTAAGTATCTGGGCTTGACCTTCATAATCTTTCACCAAGTAACAATTTCATTTTAAACACATAACTTTCCAGTTAGGCCTATTAATCATTCACCTAGGAGGACGGCAACTTTTTTGGGAAGTAGATCCATTGCAGTCTGTGTACTTAAAGTATCTTCTAAGCTCCATGCACACTGGGCTTAAAATAACGGCAGTTCCCTTGTACAGTAGACGAGTTTAGGAGAGTTTACCATTATTTCTGCCAGAAAGCTCCAATCAAAAACGCAAACTAGAAGGGTTTTTTTTCCTGCCTCTAAACATTGAGCTTAAAATATGCCTTTAATTGTCCTAATGTGCATGGACACATATGGTAAGGCAGGCCATAGACGGGCCATTTATCGGACGAATTTTCAGCTGATAAATGAAAAATTGGTCAGCTCCGTTGCCGATGCTGCCATCCATGTCCACGAAAAACGGCCGTTTTTTTTTGCAGATTTTCCAGCATGACCGATAAAAATAAATGAGGTGATCCGCGAAAAAACGGCCGACGGGCTGGCCCCACTAACGGCGTGATTATCGGCCGATTTTTCGTGCAGACGAAAATTCGGCTGATAAACAACCTATGGCCTGCATAACACTGAGCTGCTTCCAATGGCAAAACACAAAACTCCTGGAGAAGCAGTGATTTTTAAGCCAGTGTGCAGTCTGAAATAGTGTGAAAATCATCATTGACCAGATGGTTAGGTTCTGAAAATGTGTGCTTTCTTTTATAACCCAAAATGAAAATCCTCTGTGTTATTTAGTCTGACCATAAATTCATATCACTCTGTTCTATCTCCACCCCATTTAGGAATCACATTAATCACATTGTCAATAAATGTTTTCCATAGCATTAACCCTGATATATCCTGGGATAAGATGTTATCCTTTTTTTCCCGGACTATATACACATTTTCCAAACTGGGAGCAAATGTAGTTCCTATGGCTATTCCCTTCCTTTGAATATAAAATATAACATTACAAAAATAATTTTTTGACATGGTGAAATGCAGACATTCCAAAAGGAACTATGTAAATTAGAACTACCGAGAGAGCATTTGACATCTTTAAATTGTATTTCACTGCTTTTAATCCCTATAATTGTATGATATTTGTATACAACGCCGTTATGTCACTAGTAATCAGAAAGTATGGACTGGTATATAAAGACTTTTCTTTTAAACAAAATCACATAAATGTCCCAAATATCAAAGACAAACCCCACTAATGTAAACAAATATTCAATAAAGTCTCTTTTTTTCTTCTTTTCAACGAAAAATTCTTTTTCTCAACACCCGCAAATTCTGATGCCAATATACCTCAAAAAAAAAAAACTTAACATAGTGTCATACCTTTTTGGTAATAAATACACACGTGCCCCTTACAGTGCACCATGAAATACTTGTGAAACACTCCAAAGCAAACAGCAAAGCAAAAAAAAAAAAAAAAAGTGTTAATCTCTATGCGAATATCTGCATATACGCATATATTTCAGATCTCTGTGTCACCAAATATTTAACCAGTGAAACATACACACATCATATCCACTAAGTGAATCTGTGAAAACAACTCAAATTTTAACACTGCGACTGTGTAACACCACACTCTATATATCAGTGATCCTACACACATCCCCAACCAAAACTGATCTCCAACTCGTGTGCTAAATGGATAATTACCCTATATATCCAAAAACAGGGCTTGATACAAATCTCCTTAACTGTAGAAATACATCCAGTATTAAATCCAATGAAGCAATTTTTCTTCCATTCTCCTCATAAGAAAATCGAAATTACATATGGTAGATTCAATAAATAACAACCTTTATTCAGTAACTTACATTACAGTTAGAGTAAGGCAGCTCCTCCTCATAGAGATGCACATGCAGACAGACTAGGGAACACTGGCCACATGTTCCCACTTCCAAGATGGCCGTGATCACACTTCCCGTAAACGTCGATGCGTCTGACGTCACGTGTTTCTGACGCGTTTCGTCACTTCCTGTGACTTTTTCAAAAGGATACAGACATCTGCGCATCAACCCCTTATGTACCGCCCTTCAAACATGACTGGTGCCACAAATCGCCATCTTGGAAGCTGGAAAACGCCGCCCATACCTATCTGCATGCAGCCCTACTAAAAAAACAAATCCAACAACTATTTGGAACAACTAATTACGGACTATCTACCTCTATGTTACCCTATACCTGGAATACATATTGATAATACTCCATAATACAGAATACAACATACAATGTCCAATATAAGTAAAACGACAATATACAGAAATATATATCATACATATGCCTATATACATTAAATACATCAATGTTTATCTACTCTACTTTCCAGTATCCTACATCCATATAATATATACCTCTCTCCATCTATATATACATATCCATATCCCTATATAATACTTTAGCAAAGACCCTACATACTCCCTCTGCTGGTCACAATCTAAAACAACCACAGTTTTTTTTTAAACATAAGAGACCCCCAAATCTAGTTCATAGCATATTAATATATAAATACATCATACTCCTCTACCCTTTATTATCAATCCCAATATCCATTAATATATTCAGACACATTTAATTTATCTCTCTCTTTTTTTTACCTCCATCATATTATCCTAAAATAAATTACATAATAATTGCATAATAAGACAGCTATATCATGATTAACATCACAGGTAATTATCATAAAATGCCGTTTGTTTGGCCCCAAAAAGATGGCCGCGCCCATGAAAACTTTGGGAAAATGGAGGACAATTACTATATAAGGGAACAAGGGTGTAGTGATCGTCCAATCAAAACCCCCTGATGAAGCTGCGTAATCTGCAGCGTAACGAGTAGGGGAGGGGCTACGATGTCACTCGGCACCCCTGGATGGATAAGGCACCATGTTTGTGTTTCTTTCTTGATGAGGAACATCTTGAAGAGGTGTTTGAGCAGCAGAAGGAGTGAAGGATCTCAGTGGGGATAGTGGCACGAGAGGAAAGCTGCATTGGAAAAGCATCTGAGAGATATCCACCACTATTGTTATAGTGCAATAGGCGGTTTAATAGTTCCAATAGTGAACAAAAGCTGGTTAAGCCTTCAAATAGGCTTAGAAGGAGGTGAGCACATAAGTAAAGCTTGTGAAGAAGTCACCAGGAGTTTCAATTACTCACTTTGGATTCATTTGGGTGTAGTCACTTTCATCACCAGAGACTTATTTCTAAAGGTTTTTGTTGCAATACTACTTTTGATCACATTATCACATTATCACTTTGATTATCACTATAAATTGTTATCAATTTAGTTTTATGTATTTGTGTAAAAGCATATTAATTTGCAATTTTATCACTATTTATTAGGAGCGCGGCACATATTTTTGTTTATTTTAGAGAGGTACCATTACCCTATATTCATTCACATGGGGGGAGGGGATCTGGGGGCCTTCTTGTTAAAGAGGGCTTCCAGATTCCAATAAGTCCTCCACCTGCAGACCCCCACAACCACTGGCCACGGTTGTGGGGAGGCAGCCCTTGTCCCCATAAACATGGGTACAAGGTGCTGTGGGGGGGAAGCACCCCCTGCCCCAAAGTATCCCCCATGTTGAGGGCATGTGGCCTGGTATGGTTCAGGAGGGGGGGTGTTTACTTGCCCCCCCCCTTTCCCAACCTGCTGGGCTGCATGCTCGAATAAGGGTTTGGTATGGATTTTGGGTGGAACCCACACGCCATTTTTAAAAAAAAATTGGCATGGATGGAGATTCCCCTCAAAATCCATTCCAGACCAGAAGGGCTTGGTATGGATGGGGAGGCCACACCATTTTAAAAAAAAATTTATTTAATTGCCGGGCAATGCCGGCAATTCTTTTTGCATTCAGCTGTCAGTGGGGAACCCTGATGACAGCTGAAACATTAACCACCTCCCGCCCGACATATAGTCCAATGACGGGCGCAAGGTGGTTCTCTCGTTCTGGCAGGACGTCATATGACGTCCTCCCATTCTTACCGCGCATCCCTCGGACAGAGTGGATCACCGATCACGGAAAGAGCCGAAGATGTTGGCTCGGTCATGTGATCAACTGTGTCCAATCACAGCTGATCGCACGTAAACAGGGAAATGACTGTTATCAGCATTTCTCTCCTCTCGAGCTGTCACGCTGACAGCTCGAGAGGAGAGGAGAGCCGGTAATCGGCTTTCCGCGGAGGGGACATGTACACTGATCATCAGGGCACTGATGATCAGTGTGCCCTGATGATCAGTGTAGCCCCAGCAGTGCCACCTGTCAGTGTCTATCAGTGCCTTGTGTCAGTGCTCATCAGTGCCTTGTGCCAGTGCCCATCAATGCCACATATCAGTGCCCATCTGAGCTGCCTTTCAGTGTTACCCATCTGTGCCAGTCAGTGCCACCTATCAATGCCAATCAGTGCCACCTATCAGTGCTGCCAATCAGTGCCACCTATCAGTGCCAGTCAGTGCCGCCTGTCAGTGCCGCCTATCAGTGCGCATCAGTGTTGCCTATCAGTGCCAGTCAGTGCCGCCTATCAGTGCCAGTCAGTGCTGCCTATCAGTGTCGCCTATCAGTGCCATATATCAGTGCCATGTATCAGTGCTGCCTTTAAGTGCCCATCAGTGATGCCTGTCAATGCCCATCAGTGCCACTTACCAGTGCCTCCTCATCAGTGCCCATCAGTGTCACCTATCAGTGTCCATCAGTGCAGCCTATCAGTGCCCACCACTGCAGCCTCATTAGCGCATATCAGTGAAGGAGAAAAATCACTTATTTACAAAATTTTATAGCAAAAACTAAGAAAAAAACTTTTTTTTTCAAAATTTTCAGTGGTTTTTGGTTTGTTTAAGAAAAAATAAAAAACCCTGAGGTGATTAAATACCCCCAAAAGAAAGCTCTATCTGTCACAAAAAAATTCTAAAAATGTCATATGGGTACAATGTTGTATGACCGCGCAATTTTCATTCAAAGTGCGACAGTGCTGAAAGCTGGAAAATGGCCTGGGCAGGAAGGGGGTATAAGTGCCCTGTAGGCTAGCGGTTAAAGAATGTTTTTACTACTAAAATACTGGATGACTTAATAATATAACTCATGTGGTATATTAGTAGGTGTGTGGTATCTTACCGCAAACTCAGATGCGGTAAGATATCGCTTAGTGAATTGTCCCTGCACAGGATCTTCGCCCATACACAAGCTTAAATGGCAAAAAGACCATAGATGCTTGTGGAACCTCCTGGATGGCAAACAAGAGGGCAGGGAGCAACATTTGCCAATCCTTCCCATCTTTCTGAACCACTTTTTATAACCACTTACCGACCGCCCTGTAGCATATTTTATTGCTACAGGGAAGCCGCTCTGAGCAAAAACACATCCTACCCGTGCTGTCATTGGCTCCCGTAGGTGTCAGTCACCGGGTCCCTGCCAGTGATTTATGGCCTGGACTCGGTGATTGGCGGAGCAGCTGACAAGAGAGATCTGTGAGTGTAAATACAGATCTTTCTCCAGTCAGCAGTGACGTGCTGGTTTTATTCCCTCTGCAGAGCAGGGACATAAAAACCAGCACATCCCCTAGTAAACCAGTACACAGTTTAATCACTCCCCAACACACAGTTAACCCTTTGATTGCCCCAGGTGTTAACCCCTTCCTGCCCAGTGTCATTAATACAGTGTCAGTGCTTTTTATTAGCACTCATCACTGTATTAGGGCCACTGGACATGTCAGTGGCAGTTAATCAGTTCCCAGTCAGTGTCAGTATCAGAAGGCCCTGAGTACTATCTACTATCGTAGTCCCGCTATAAGTCACTGATGGCTGTCATTTCTAGTATGTATAAATAAATAAAAAATCCAGTATATACACACCGCCATTTGTAAATGATATAACTTTGACACAAACCAAATAATATAAACTCATTGGGATTTTGTGTTACCAAAGACATGTAGCAGAATACATTTTGGCCTAATTTATGAAGATTTTCTTTTCTTTTGTATATGTTTTATAGCAAAAAGTTAAAAAAAATTTTTTTTTAATTTTTGGTCTTTTTCCATCTATAGCACAAAAAAAAAAAAAAAACCCAGTCTATTTGTGTGAAAAATTGATATAAATTTAATTTGTGTACAATTTTGCATGATTGGACAGTTGTCAGTTAAAAGAGAAATATGGGGTTTCTTTTTCTCCCCCAGTTATACTTACCAAGGTGGATGCAGCATTATTCTGATGCTGCATCTCTCCCCCGCCTGCTCTATGTGTGAGAACTCAGCTATCACATGGTCACTGATCATCGAGTTCTCACAGCCACTCTGAGCGGAGAGCGGTGACTGTCAGTCACCGCTCTCTGCTCTGCTCCCCCAGCGCTCAGTAGAGTGCTGGGCTATGCAGGGGGAGGGAGTAGCTGGCTCAAGCTCTCAGCACTTCCCAGACTCTGGGGTGGATCCCGACTTTAAAGTTGGGATCTTTCCCCAGCCTGGACCAACTGGGTGACATCAGCTGGCAGCAGACTTCAGTCCTCTGTCAGCTGAAAATGGGTCACAGGAGTGCAGAACGAACTGCACTCCTGTGATCCACAGTAAAAGTACAGCCAAAATAGCTTTGGCTGTACTTCTCCTTTAACGTTCCGCAGCACCGTATAGCAAAAAATGGCCTGGTCATGAAGGGGTGTAAATCTTCCGGAGGGCAAGTGGTTTACATTAATTTCAGGGTTTTCTTAAAACTCTCAATGAGGCCATCTGTCTGCAAATTATAGGCAGACATTTGCAACTGCTTAATCTAAAACAGTTTGTACAAGTCCATCATCACCTTTGACATAAAAGGGGTACCCTGGTCCATCAGTATCAATTTGGAAAACCCAGTTCTTGAAAACATTTGAAAAACTCCCAGGCAGTGGCCTTTTTCCCTAAAGGGATTGCTTTTGGACACCTAGTTGCGTAATCCAGGACTTTTAGTACAGTATATATTGTTGTCCCCTTGCTGACTTTACTAAGGACCCCAATAGATCCATAACCATCAATTGGCACCTCAATTAAGGGTACCATGGGGTGTAATGTGACACCAGGACAGTTACTGTAACTAGCAAATGGGGCACAATATATTTTAACCTCAGTTTTCAACCCTTGCCAGTAAAACCGGTCAGTTATTCTGGCTTCCATTTTTCAGGACCAGGTGTCCTCCCAGCATGTCATTGTGGGCTAGATTTAGGAGCAGCCACCTATACGGCTAAGGAACCAATTGTTGGTCTGCAGTTTCTCCTCGGCCATTCGATAAAGCAAGTCCCCATTTAATGCAAAATGAGGAAACCATTGATCTGCACTAGGCATTTGTAGGACCCCCTTAATAACAGAAACCTGCTCTCATGCATTGACCAGAGTAGGATCACATAATTGGTGATAAACACACCACTGCATACCTCCAAGTCTGGGTACACTGGCCCAGAGAAAGTTTACCCTTCATCCTCCTCAATCAGGATATGCAATAGGGAAAATTCCTGTTCGTCCTCCCCCAACATGACCTGCAACGGAGAATTTCCACCCCTCAGAGGTCAGTTTGATCTTGAAACCTGGAGCATGAACATCATCATTCAGATCAATATTATTTGCAATGGCATTACCAACAAAAGGTGCCTCAACATTAGGGGTGTTTGTTGTAGGTGATTCTGGACCTAACCTGAAAGGCCCAGTGTCCCCAGTTCTCTTGGCTGAAGTTCATTCTCTACCTGTTTCCAGAGTTCAAGAAACAATAGGCAGACCCGATCACCCTGGTGAGTACCAGTGTCACCATGCTACCAAAGTCTATTAGAGCCTTGGCAGGAAGATGATTCAACCATACTTCTCATTCAAACTGACCTGCAGCCAGATTGAGATGGGTGGCACATGCATGTTGGACATAAAACGAGGCTTCCCTGCTGGCCCCACATTCCATGGGCTCCGCCTGATGTGGACACTGTGCCTGGGTATGTCCCCAGGATCAGCATCGCCAACACTGTATGACCCCCATTCTTTTGACAGGGACCAACCTCCATGGGTCCGGGGAAGTTGAGGCAGGGATGCGGCCCAAGTAGGTCCTCCACTACTGTATATCTTTTGATCAACTCCGCCAATTGGTCCATGGTTGCAGGGTCTCCATGGCTTACCCAATGCTACAGGTCATCTGGCAAAGACCACATGTACTGGTTCCACCATCTGAGGGCCTGTCAACTTTTCTTGTTGCAGCTTCTTCTTGACCATGCATCTGGGACCTTGGTGGGCAGTCAGGTTGGTACGTCCAGCGGTGCACGCTCTGAGCCCAGACCGCCATAGACACCCCCAGGCAGGCTAGGATCTCTGCCGTCAACTGCTCATAATCCTTGATGTGTTCTGTGAGCAAGTCAAAGTAGGCCTTTTGCTAATCACTGGTAAGAAAGGGGGCAAGGACGTCAGCCCATTGGTCACGGGGCCACCCCTCTCTCTATGCTATCATCTCATAGGTAGTTAGAAAGGCCTTCACATCTTCACTGGTTGTCAGTTTCTGTAAATAATGGCTGGCTCTCACAGCTACTTGGTTGCCAGGGGCAATGGGCGCATTTTCGGTCCCTGAGCAAGTTACTACACTGCCTCCTGCAAAGCAGCCATTTGTGCTTGGGTGGTTTCCTGCTGCCTTCTCATGGTGATGGTTCGCATCCATGGAGCCTTGTTGCTGGCTCACTGTGGTTTGCATAAATGTCTTGATGACCTCCTCCATGTTTTGTACTGCTGCTTGCAGTGCCTGAGCTTACTTCACCCAAGACATGCCATAGGTACACTGTTTCTTTAAATGTCAGTTTCCCTTTTAAGTGGAGGCTGCAATGCACATCCTAAACACCAGTTGTAAAGTTTGGGGGATCTAGCACCTCAGGACTACGTGCAACAGCCATCTATCTTAAACATAAAAGTCTTTATTTTTGTTTAAGCAATTAAAAAAAGATTTCCCAGCAGCAAAAGAAAACTTCATAAAATGCAACACAAAAAGTCTGCTTATCTTCAGCACAAATCAAACTATTATACAGTTGCAAGAAAAAGTATGTGAACCCCTTGGGATTACGTGGAGTTTTGCATGAATTGGACATAAAATGTGCTCTGAACGTCATCTAAGTCACAACAATAGAAGAACACAGTCTGCTGAACATAATACTACACAAACATTAGATGTTGCCATGGTTTAATTGCACAAAACATGTAAACATTCACAGTGCAGGGAGGAAAAAGTATGTGAGGCCCTAGCCTAATGACTTCTCCCAGAGCTAATTGGAGCCAGGAGTGAGCCAACCTTGACTCCAATCAGTGTGATGATATTGGATGTGTTGCTGACAGCTGTCCTGCCCTTAAAAAACACACACCTGTTTTAGGTTTACTGCTTTCAAGAAGCACTGTCTGATGTGAACCATGCCTCGCAGAAAAGAGCTCTCAGAAGACCTACGATCAAGAATTGTTGACTTGCATGCAGCTGGAAAGGGTTACAAAAGTATCTCCAAAAGCCTTGATGTTCATGTGTCCACGGTAAGACAG